AACAATGTGCAAATTATGTGTTGCTATAAGGGTATGTTTTATAAACATGGATTTTTCATATAAAAATTGAAATGATCAACATGTTGATTTATTAGTACACAACATTTTGAACCCCTGTAAAGGGACATGTCCCGGATCTGATATAGTCTTTGTGCTAATCAAATATAAATAAAATGCTAGATCAGTATCAACTAGTCTTTTAGAAAAGTATTTTTCATGATCTGCAATAATTTTAGCATTTTCAGCAGCAATAGAAATTTTATTTGCAGAACTATGATTATTCAAGCTTTGTTGATTTGTTTTAGACTTGAAATATATATGTTAAAACCTCTATCTTTTCTTTTGTAAAAATGTTCGCCATTAAAGTATAGTGTTTTTCTCTTTTTAAAGCTAAAAAAATAGTGCTGTAAAAAAAAACCAACATAAAAATCTATCAAGAGTGACTCTAGACATAGCTTTATGATTTAAAATAGTTTTTATTTCTTCAAATATTAATGTATCAAATCTATTTATTTTACTATAATCTTTTTCAAAAAGATCTCTTGTTTTACCATTAAGTACTTACTTCAAGTTTAAAAACACTTGCTGGTTACATAAATTAACAGGTTTAACTTTACTGATACTTGAGTTATAAAACCTGTTTATTGCACTTATTGCAGCTAACAATAATAATACCATATATGGTGATCTATCTCCTTTTTTAATAATACTAAAGTACTCACATAATTGAGCTTCTAATTTAGATACATTATCAACTTCTTTTGTAGCACCTTTATCCAACATCTGATCGATATTGCTAAAATTTTTGGATCTAGTTTTGTGTTGACTTTTGAGTATTAAAAACTTTAGATTTATTGCATAGATATAAAATTTATTTACTAGTTGGTTTTTGATAAGCTTTTGTTTTACTTTTTGCATTTCAATTTAAATATATACAGAGAATAAATCAAATATAAAAAATTTGGTATAAAAGAAAAAGTATAAAAAAGATCAGTATTTAAGAAAAAATTATATATATATACTTAATTTTTTAATTAATAATGTAATATGCATAAATAAGAATTTTAGTACAGTCATCAATTACTGATTCACAATAATATTATTATTGTATAGTGCTAAAAATATTCATGTAGGTATCAAATAGCGACAGGTGATTGGTGCAAATCATGCCACTTTGCAGCAAGATTTGTATCATTCATCTGCTGCTATTTGATACCTACATGTATATTTTTAAACCTATACAATAACTATAAAGAATACAGAGTATAAAGATAATAAAAAGTAGTTACTAGAATCTAAATAAATTTACAAGAGCAGGGTGTAGTGACTTAGTGAAGTGGTAGAGTTGTCACACCCCAAATAGCAAGTCTAGAGTTTGAATCCCACAGATGATGATTTTGAAAAAACTAGATCTGTATCAGTTAATGTTAAGATTATCAGTTGGATCCAGTTATCTATAATCTTGATTATGCCATCTCAAATAGGAGCTTCAGCACAATAAATCCAGAAAACTGAAATTACCGAAAACCCATTTGGCAAGTTTTGAGTGTGAGTAGCAGTAATCTTCGATGGTGCTACAGGAAAGCTAAATTTGGAACTGAAAACCAAGACCAGAGAACTGAATAACCAGATTCTTAAGTGGGGATATACTAGCTAAACTGCCAGACCGCCAACTAGAGAAAAAGGACTTGTGCTCTAAAAACATGTATCAAGGAAGGGCAACTGTAAGACACCTAAAGCCTGAGCAGACCAACTCTTCTAGGTTGCCGGCTGGAAGTAAGGGAGAGACTGGTAACGAATTTAGAGAAAAAAGAAGTTGGAATGTGGGTACTGGGTTGTTGTGAACCTACAAGGG